ACCATCCATTTATTTTGTTACTGAGATTTAATAACTGGTCTGAGAAATTGGGACTGAAGTTTCCTGTTACAGTTTTCACTAGTATGCTTCTGATCATTGCTCAACGGCACGAACCTTGTCTCATTTGTAAAGAGCACATTTCCCCATGCCTGATTATACCACTATTTAATTCATATTGCTGGATCCAGTCTCTTTGTTCTGCTGCTACTGTATCAGCACCTTTCAAGCCGAGAATATACTGTACTTTGAAGAGCTGCACCTCACTTTTGCATATTTATTTCTTATTCGACTACTTCAACTGTCAACATTAGCAGTTTTATGAGATGATATTATTAGTAGTAGTATTATTAAAAATCTTTTACAGTACATCATCTTTGTTATCTTTATATCTGTGGAGAGAAGTGGCCTTATTTAGCTAATACTATAATTTATAGTTCATTTTGGTACTGTAGCTGCGTCAGCATACTGTACATAGGCTGCAAAGGAACAAGTAATAGGTTTATTAATAGGTTTACTCCATGCTGAAAAAAAGAAGAAAGAAAACGCAACGTTTCCGCTGTGGAGCCTTCTTCAGGTGTCACACCTATTGCTATGATTTATATATACTTATTGTGGAATTTTCTTCCCAGAGGTCAATGTATTCAGGTATCAAACTCTACATTGAACATGGTCAACACAACACTGCCTTAGATATAATTTATTTTACACTAAATATAATGTTTTTATTTTATTAATTCAATTCGTCCATTGCTTCCATAATGATTTCTATTAGTAATATAGAAATAATATAGTCTTTAATAGTAAGACAGTGGAAATCTTTTTTATTTTTTTCAATTGCAATTTGTGAAGAACTAGTGAAAATGGAAGTGCTGTTAATATTTAATCTCTCACCTCTTCTTTCTTTTTCTTCAGTTTCAGTTCTTGGCGAAAGTAGGGCTGACATTAGGAAATTCATTAATTATTGATTCCCTTATACAATTTTTGAGAAAACAAATTGAAGCACTTGTAGATATATCTAAAAGACCTGAGATGACAATGTTTATACACAGTACCACTGCTGATGAAAAATAGATGGCAAGAACAAAGGTCTCAGACTACAAATTCTCTGTGGATTTTGCATTGTTCTTTTCACTGAAGAATTCTCCTTTTATCTAGTACTTTTTTTCCATTGAGGCAGCACAGTGGTTTAGTGGTTAGCATTGCAGCCTGATGGCCCTGGGTTCAGTTCTGCCTGATGGCTCTGGGTTCCATACCTGTGGTGCTACAGTATCTGTCTGGAGTTTGTATGTTCTCATGGGGTTTTTTCAGGGGCTCTGGTTTCCTCCCACTGTACCAGGACATTCTGGTACTGTAGGTGCATTGGCTTCTAGGAAAATTGGCCCTGTGTGAGTCTCAAACAGTGCAGTCACATACAGTAATGTGTTTTTACTCTCTAAAAAGATTAATGAATATTAATGAAAGCTTTTCATCAAAGGAGTAGTAGTAGGGTTTAGAATGATATATTTCCAATAGGTTTTAAAATACTATGGTTTGATGATACCATAGTATAATCGTGCACAGAATGAGTGAGATTGGTCAGCTAAAATGAACGTTTTGTACAGTAAGTCTTGATAGAAGAAGAGAGCTAACCCTTCCTACAGCTGATATAGATATGTGCCCTGCGATGGACTGGCATCCCTTGTGCCTTGTGCCTTGTGCCCATTGCATGGCGGGATAGGCTCTGGCTCTTATGTGACTCTGTATTGGATAAAGGAGCTAAAAATTCTATGTATGAATGGTTTCCATTAGAATTTAAAAAAATTGAATTTTCTGTGAATTTTATTCAGAGACCAATGCCTTTATTCTATCTGTTTGTTGGACCAACAGCTGGCGGACTTGCTAACATTGGAACCAAGCCCTCTTTATTGACAAATCAAGGTTTTGGGTAGACTGTCCTCATGCATGTCAGCAGATGTTAATTCAACAAAATAAGACTACATAGGAAATGGTAGTTTGTATTTCTATACAGTATGTTATACATAGAAATTACCTGCTTTGCTCTGTACCTAATAGATATGATCTCTAGATAGTTGAAGAATGCATGGAATGCCAAGCCTGCAATCACACTTCTGAAGTGTAAAACAATATCATTCATATTTCCAAAGCCTTGAAAGGTCATTGTTTTTTGCCAATTCAGTGTATGGTGCCAATAATCACAAAAATATTTCTTTCTTTATCAGGGTGGTTCTTTTCTTTTCATTGTTTTTTTAATTTCCTTGTTTATCAGAAAAAGAGCAGACTAGGCATGAAAGAAATGTTTGTTATCAGAGTGTTTGGCTTCAGAAAGATAACCTGTCTTATATCTTTTATCCATATCTAAGTGCCCTTGAGCTTGAAGAGAAAGTGACTGATGAATGACATCAGTCCTGGGTGGCTGTGTTCGTCAGTGGTGGTTTGCAACATCTTAGTGGTAGATATTTGGTTTAGAAGAAAATGTAAAAATGCTTTTTCTCCTAGGCCGTTAAAGTAGGTATTCATTTTTTTTCTGTGGCTTAACAGGGACTTTTTATGTCTTCTGTTTATCCAGGATTAGTCTTCTACATGTATTTGAGACTTTTGTATTATTGACCCCTAATATAAATGGCAAGCAAAGCAATTTTATTAGTCTGCTACATTTTCCTGAGATTATTTATTTTCCCTACTAGGACAAGACAATATTTCAAAATAAAAGACATCACTATGCATGCCACTGACTGAAATTGCATCAGATTACAGATTCAGAAAACCAAATCAGACTGTGCCATGTTTCATTACTTCACCAAATCTGGTAAACCTGGACTGATCTTTCTCAGTGCAGCTCAGGATCTTGTCCTAAAATGGTGAGATAATTTGACATCTTGTTTTCTGAGCATATGTACTGTGTACATTTCACTGTATCTTTACTGAATCTTTCATTTACAGTATATGTTATTTGGAATCACATTTTTGTTGTCCTATTTATTATTCTCTTTAGTCTACTGTAGAGTTTCAGCATATGACTCTTTCATGACTCTTAGAGATGGTTAAATTAGTCAGAAAGCAAAAAAGAAACAGCATCCATGTCTAATGGATTTAGTCATTTACTGTATCATGAATGTAAATAACACACAAATACAGAAAATGTGAAATAAATGCTGATCAAAGGATCTTCTGATTGTGAAATGTGATACACTGTCCGGATGAAACGATTGCAAGGCGAGGATGGGCCATGACCTCCATTGGCATTAACACATTGACATTGTTACAGTGACAGTATAACATAGTGATCCTGACACTGCTGCTGCATAGACCCTGTCGCCCTGATCATGTACTGTTGGTCTCTTATTGGTGCCTCAGATGCTCTACTTAACTCACCACAGGAGCCAAAACCTCGGCAAGGGTTTCTTGAAGTCATCCTAATGCTCTGTGGTCTTGCCTTGTCCTACCACAAAATGGACACTTCTGTCTCCAGTCTTTATCTTGAAGGAATGAAAGGGTTTTACTTAAGATCTTCCTTTGTGTATCGCTTGTGTTCAAGGGGATTTCTCCACACATCATCACACTTTGACCGGTCCACCAGTTGACTAAAACAAAGCAAAAGTTAGCGTGACGCTCACCACGATGTTTTCACACATTATTTTGTCGGACACCTCTGATGTTTAGCAAGATACTGTACATCTGCTTATGCTTTGATTATTACCTCCTTTGCTTTGTGGTGTCTGAAAACATTTAAGCACTCCTCCTTATTTTGAAAGATCTTTCGTTTCCTGTGAATCTTTGGTTTAAATTTACTACTTGACCGAGGGATCTTACAGTGATAGAGGTATCATTCTGAAGTCATGGTAACCCATGATATTGCACACAGACTAGGGCTATTTAATTGTGTGACTTATTGAAGTAATTTTGCACATCTGAACTAATGTAGGTTTGCCATAGTAAGGGGCTGAATATGTATTCAATATATTTTTAGTTTTTGAAAGTGTTTTGCAATTTTACTGACATACAGTATTGCACCCATAAAACTATTCAGTTCAAACATTCAATTTTACATTAATATTATTAGCTTTAAAAATGAGTACATCATTTGCACTGTAATTCAACAAAATGGGACATCATTGGAAGAAGGTGAATACCTTGCAAGTTACTGTGCTGTTTATGCTGGTCCTTCTCTCAGGTCAAAGAGGTGGAGTTTGATTTTAATACTGTCAAGAGGACGTTAGAAAAAAGAAATAACAGAATCTTTTAGATTTAAGGAGGGTGCACAGAATCTCTTCACTAACGCAATGAGTTGTTTTTGCTATATAGACTATTTTCTGGTAAAGCAAAATGTAAAAACAAAAAGAGAAATCTCTGATTTCCCTATTGGCACATAAAATTACTTCAAGGATGTCTAAGAAATGTGAACATAATTGGGACTTCACGCACAGCAGCATATGATGAAGCATTTATTTGCTACCTTGAAATGTTTTTTTAGATGACCAAACCCCAATTTCAAAGCATTTATAACATTCAACAGAAACAATAGCCAAGCACATTTTAATAAGAAGTAATGGGAAACTGGCAAGAGAGCAACATTTAATTTGGCTTTAGCTGCCAAGAAGGTAATAATAAAAACTTATTAGAAATGCACGATTCAGCCTCCTTCTCCCCCTGAAGAATGGAGGATTGTTTTGCTTCCCAATGTGTTTAAGCACAAAAATGGATCCTTTATTGGACTCTATTATAACTCAATGAGCTGCAGCCGAGTGGTAGGAAGCAGTAATTAAGGAGCGACTGCTTTCCATCTGTCTATACGAGCAGTGGTTATTTTCCAGTGGGGCATTTTTTTCTGCTTATTTTGCGCTCTATACATGAAGAGGTTAATTTGTTACATCCAAACACTGGTCTTTACACCTGCTTTTACATTGTGCAGTTTGTCAGTCATCAATTAACCAAAAGAACATCTGTATCTGAACTGAAAGGATGGTCCCGTTGCTTATTTTGTTATTTATTTCTTACTGCAGAAGTCTGACCCAGTCGAAGTAGTCGTCCTGGAACGATGTCACATTGTGGAAGGAAGAGATAACAGAAAGGCTTCATTAAGCATTAGTAAGTACTGAAAGATTCCTTCAGTTATTTTAAAGTGAAGTCATTTATATTTGATTTGCCTTATTTGCATGTTTAGGAATATTAATTTTGTGACTGGTGTGTTTGTGCGTATTGAAGTGTTCAGCTGTTGTGTCAATCAGGCCTGATAGTGAACGGGAATATAAATATAATTTCTTAAATAGCTCCCAGATAAACTCCTAAGAGATCTTAATACATTATGAGTTGGAGCCTTTGTTCAGGAAGATATACATGGAGATACTGTATACAGTATGTTAAAATAGATGAACAATCAAGTACTCTCTTCTGTCTATGCCAATTTCATGCTGGAATTTTGTCTTACAATTGCAGTCTGCAACTTTTCATTTGTTTGCATGCTTTGAAATTCTTTCTAGTCCTATTACACCACAGTCTTGTAATAAGACCAGTCATGTGATCCATGCTGCATACACAATGCAGGGGAAATCGGGAGTTCACCAATGACAAGACTGTTGTGTAAGCTTTGAGGATTTAGATATGCTCTTTCAAAAGCCTTGGAGAAATAAGATCTCCCTCAAAGATAATCTGTTTTTTTCTAACTATCACAAGATCTGTGCTTGTGGTGCTGCCAAGCAGTTTAGTCCACAAAACATTGCTGTATTCTGTAAAAGAGAAGAGTCAGATGTGTATAGTGAATTTTCCTTTTAAGTCAGAGTTCATTAACTAACCCTACAGGCTAGAGGAGCTTGATGATGACAGTGTTTTCTTGCTCACGTAGAAAAGGGCAACCCAACTCTTGTCTTGGGAACCATAGTCTGTTCAAGTTATGAACGATCACTTGCATAATTGAAACATTTGTCTTAATTAGTCAAGACTGATGTGATTTCTGTCCAATGTTTGAGGAAAAGATGTACTGTACAAAGCCTGACAGGTTGTGAATCTCTTGGACTGGGATTAGATGATTAACTATAGATAGCTAAATTATTTTAATTCTGTTAAGGATCTTCTCCTTCTTCTTCTTCCCATTATCATCCTTATGTGCATGCTTTTGGGATTGACTCCAGGCTGCTACAGCCTTTTCCAGGAATAAGTAGTTTTCTGATCATGGATAGATGAGTGGGTATTTCTAATCTTGTTTAGTGCCTTTCTAAATGGAATCAAAGTGCTATAAAATAAAAAGCAAAAATATAAATGTAATGAAATAAGCAACAAATGGGAAAGTGTATTTAATATGTTTAATATAACCAAACTTAAATAAAATGTTGAAAAATAAACAACTAGATTTTAAAATGTATTTTAAAAACTATTCATCTTCAGGGTCTTTTGTTATATCGTTCCATAGCACTGATCCCTTAGAGCAGATACAGTACAGCCATATCATCTGCAAAGAGAAAGCCACCACTGTTGACAGTTGGCTGACAGCAAGTCACATGAGGTGACATAACTAAAGAGATACAAGATATAAGTATAGTACAAATCCTTTCCGAACTGTTAAGCTCAATAACACAGTTTCACAACAAAGACTGATTCCAAAAACTTAATTTATGACAGGTAACAAGATTTCAGGAAGTTTTCTCTTGACTTGCCACATCTCCAGTTAAAAGATATTCTCTGTTAATTTGTTCATTTGAATTGGATTGAAAGTAGTGTAGTTTTGTGTTTGGAGAATAAAACGTATTCTTCCTGCAGTAGTGATTCCACACTTTTCCATCTATTTTGTGTACCCTGCTTTGTTTGTCCTTTGGATTAAGGCAACAGTAGATGCTCTTAGTTTAGAGATATCCACATTCAAGACGGAAAGTAAACTGCATTTTCAAAAACTCTGGACTAGTGTAAACCTGACCAGGTTTATATTGTAACATTTATTGCAGAAAAATATTTCTACATATTGTTAATTATAAATGATAGAAATCAAATTATATCTTAAAACTAGCTAGCAATTAATTAATTAATTAATTAATTAGCAGTTTTATCTTTCTTTTTTCCCCTCTTTACTTAATTAATTCCCAATTTTATATGTCTTTATTATATAAAATGTAATTCCTTAAAAATGCCTATAATGATGAAAAAACAGGAGATTAAGGTGTTAAGTTGCCTCTCACCAGTCAATTATGTGAAATGCAACTAAGACCAGAACTAAATCAGAAACCCACCCTCTTAACTGCAAATTCAAACCCCAAACTCTGCTGGTGATTGGAGCTTATGTTAAAGCATCTGGGAAAAAGAAAGCTACCAGTAATTGAAATATTTGAAATCCGGCATTGGTGGCAGGGTCAAAGTCGTGATTTAACTGAGTATAAATTTGTTAAATTAATGTATTTTTTCCAACTCACACAATATTTTTTCTACCTTCAAATCTTTTCATAATGAGCCTGGTAGAGAGAAACTGATCTACCATATTTTTGCTTCATACACTGCTGATTGCTGACATGCGTTTCTTTCCTGCGCTTCTGTTCCTGTTGCTCTACATGCACTATACAGAAGCCCACGTCCTGTCAAAATCAAAATGTTCTGATCATGTTACTCTTGTTATAAAAAGGTGGATTTGTTGATATGTTGCAATTAATTACATTTCAAATTGTCATCTGGGGTTTTTTTTTGTACCATTTTCACTTATGTTCTTAATAAATAAAAAATTGTAGTTGTGGCAAACCAAGACTAGTTCTTGACTAGCCTCTATACCTGTACACTACAGGTTTCCTTTAGATTCTGTCTTCTGCATTTAGCAAGCACTTGAAAACTCACATCCTTATCTGGCTCTACCTACAGTACAGTACCTTGCAGGCAACTATTACCTGGGTTTAGAGGACAGTGGCAATTATATTTTCTTTGCGAAGTGCCAGCTATACTCACAATGTTGTATATTTATAATATTTTCTTCTTCTTGTTTGCTTTTTATACTTTTGCTGCTTTTCACCTGCATCTATTGTGTTGTTATTGTGTTGTTTTACTGTTTTTAAACACTTGGTACAGTACTTGTGTCTGAGGATCTGCCAGTGGTGGATATCACTTTAGCTGTGAAGTAACATACGTTTTCTTGTTAATTCACACTTAGATAATATAGTGCAGTTATTAATTAAATAGTACAAGATTCAGCAAACCATACTGAGGAGGTTAATGAAGACCACATTAGCTTTAACCTTGTCTTTGTATTTCAATTAAGTAATGACATTTCTAAACATTTATGAATTGCAGCAAATAAAATCACTTGTAATGTGACGTTTTCTGTATTTTACTATGCAAGAAGGCCAGCGACTTCAGATGAGATGTTAAATTAAGGTCCTGATTGTCTTCTCATTAAAGATACCATGACACATTTTAAAAGAAGAGGAATTAACCTTGGTGTTCTGGTTCAATTTCAGATTGTACAGTCCAGCCTTCCTAAAGTTCCCACTTAATTCATTTGATACGGCAATTTCTACCTTCTCTACCAGTGGAGCTACTGGCACATAATGGCTATAAGTATTATGATAAGATTTAGATTTATAGAAATTAAGAAAAGTGGTGGTCCCTGGAAAAATCCCTGTGGTACCCCACTAATTTGGTTCACCCCATATCTATACCCTTTTTTCTATAACTAATTATAAATCTACTCATGTTTTCCTGAATGCCAACTGCCTGCAATTTGAAAATCAATTGCTTATGAGGAAATACTGTATATTCACAAACCTTTTGAAAATCTAAATTTACCATGTCATATGCCATGTATGTGTCCATAACTGTTGTTACTAGTTCAGAAAACTCTTAACAAGTTTGTTGGGAAAAGCCTATCTTTTTAATTTGTTAGGATATTTCCATATACTGTAGATGAAATTCTAATAATTGTTTCCATGTCATAAAATGCTAATCTCACATGTAATAGAAGTCCAGATACAGTATATTGGTGAATAGTCAGCTAATTTAATTTTTTTACCTTTTAAGTCCCTGGGTACTACCCTTGTCTTGAGTGACCATTGAAAGAGTTGAGTCAATGGCTGTTTTAGTTAATAGTATTTAATACTTAAAACTCTGACCTTCCACTTCCTGGGAAATGTTGTTGACTTCTTCCTTGGTGATCACCTCATTGTCCGGCTATTTCCTTTTCCATACTGTAGAAGCTTCCCATTTTTTGTTCTGAATATGTTTTGCTTCATCTTTTGCTGTGTACTGCTAGTACTGACAGATGTGTTTTTGCTGTTGTAGTACTGAAAGAACATTTTATTATTTATTTTATCCACTACATTATTATGTTCAGTTTGTGTCTTGGCCTTTCTAACATCCTTTTCTTTCCCTGTGCTTATAATTCTTTGTTATCTAGATCATTTTGTTTTTATGAAGCACTTTATTTTACCTTTTGTCAAACTGTTCGTTGTATTTGCTTTGTGGTATACTGTTAGCTTTTTATTTACTCAGTTTTGGTATACATATTTTCAGTTTCAAAAATATAATTCTTTCAGTTCTGTCATCTTTTCAAGACAAGATCTTTTCAAGCATTTGCTCTGACAAACTGGGTCATCAACTGTGTATCCAGTGTCAGTTTGTCAGTTTCTGCTGCTGATATTCCTAGAGATATTTCCAAGTCTGTGTTGGTAAAATTGAAGTCTTCCATAAAAACTACTTGTTATGCACATACATTCTTAATTTCATTATACAATGTTGAATTATAATTAACATCTTTGGTGATCTATAGAAAACTCCTCACAGTACACCTCAATAATTGTTTTTAAATAAATGACTCTGACTCATAAATTCAGAGACTGTTGATTTCTCTAGCTTACATCCTTGAACCTGAATACTCTTTTGATATATAGTCCTATTGCTCCACCTCTTATATCTTTTCTGTCTCTCTGGAACAGGAGTGTGTCCACTAATGTTAAATTTATCTCCATTGTTTAGGGTTAAACAGGATTCCATGATTGCAATAACATCATAATTGCCTGCTAATGTGGTAGATTCTATCTCCTCTAATTAGTTTCTGATACTAGGTAGAAGCACTTAATTTCACTATCATTTTTTCCTCTTTAATTTAACTTGGTCTTTGTTCC